CACTCTTCAACCAATAAAAGGCTTCCAGTGTGACTTACGAAGCTAAGACAGATCATTATCCATAATAAAACCATAAATGTTTAAAGGTCAACTCTCTCTTTTCCACTCACCTCACCATTGTACAAAGTCAAGTAGAAACCTGAACATGGTTTCATGTTCATGTCGAGCCCTGTTCTGATTATACTTCTATGGTCTAGAAAGTGCATCAAAGGGAATGAGAAAATAGCAGTTATTTAGGACCCAGGGATTCCTAACTCCTGGTGATGAAATAAGTAGTCCACCACAGCTCTAACTTAACTTGTTCACTAAAAATGCTGGAACATAGGAGCATCCCGGCTGGAAGTTGGACGTTGACAAGAAGCCAGGGTCCCTGAGTCCCAACAGATAGAGGTGGCTGAGCCTGGGTACCTGATAAAGTGCAGGTCTTGCTCAGTGTGACATTTGGTGCTGCCTTCAACCTGGGCAGGCTGGCCTTGCCTTCACTGGCCCTGCTTTGCACCCGAAGTGTTTTTGCCTGGCGGAATGTGTCCTTGGACTCTGATGGTGCCTCTTGCTTGCCATGGCAGAGGATACAGAAGGATGTCCAAGTGCGTGTAGAAAGTTGCCTACCTGTACAAAAACAAAATTGGCATTAGTTGCTCAACTACTTTTGCCTCTTGCCCCACTCACCATTTGCATGTGGCCTTTGAAGAAGAAGAGTTTAGATTTGATATCCCGCTTTATCACTACTCTAAGGAGTCTCAAAGCAGCTAACCGTCTCCTTTCCCTTCCTCCCCCACAACAAACACTCTGTGAGGTGAGTGAGGCTGAGAGACTTCAGAGAAGTGTGACTAGCTCAGGGTCACCCAGCAGCTGCTTGTGGAACAGCGGGGAAGCAAACCTGGTTCACCAGATTACAAGTCCACCGCTATTAACCACTACACCACACTAGCTTCTGAGATGTTACTCAGAAGAAAATGTAGCCCTCAGGCTGAGAAAGGTTCCCCTACATGTGGACAACTTAAGCAATGGACCATAGCTGAGTAGTAGAGCACATATTTGCTTCCAGAAGGTCCCGTTCAATCCCGGACATCTCCAGGTAGAAAGAATACGTGGTAGCAGGTGATGGGAGAAACCTATTTCTCTTTGAGATCTTGAGCAGCTGTCAGTCACAATAACTGGGCTTGCTGGACAAATATTTGGTTAGATGGTTGGGCAGATTCTGATGGTCCTTAACCGAAGTAGAAAGGTTGTGGCCTCCCAAATAATAGTGGAGTTCCTAGCTTGAGTTTCATGGTTATTTTACCAGAGGAAAGCTTCCAGTATAAATACAGAGGCAATTATGAAAATAACATTCAAAGGTGCATTATAGGAGGGAAAAAAGGCTTGCAAAGATGTGTATATTTGTCAAGACTTCATACAAAAACTCGCACTAAAATGCTGATGAATTTTTACAATGACCCCCCTCCCCCATGAAATGTTACATGCATGTCAATAACTAAATTTAAGTTTGGAAGAAATGAAAAACTGAGAGAACCAGTCCCCACCCCCAAAATAAAGATTTGTCCTGGACTGTTTTTCTTAGCCCACTCTTAGTCCTGTTTAGTATACCTTTTCCCTTCCTTTGTTTTGTAATTACTTTTAGACTTTAATGTCTTTTTAAATTGTGCCATTTTTATAAGGAGCACCCTGAGAGCACAAAGTTGCCTGTGTAAATAGCATCATTACAGAAGATTGCCGTGATTCTCTGCCAATTCTTGAGCGTTAGAGATTAGCCAGGGTTTTCTTTCCCAAGCCTGTTAAATTCAAACAGTTAAAAATCTGGGCAGAAAGCCTAGTGATGGGGCATTATTTCTGTTTTTGCACTGCAGTGAAGGTGATTATTTGGACTGTTTCTGTTACATGTCAATAGTCAAATGGGATTTTCTCTCTAGAGCTCCCTTCTGTCCAAGTACATAGAAGGTCGCAGATTCAATCCTTTTCATGTCTAGATAGGGATGGGGATGTGCCCTGTCTGAAACCCTGAAGAAGCGCTGCCAGTCAGGATGGACAATATTGACCGAGTTAGACCAAGGATCTGACTCAGTGCAAGGCAGCTTCCAAGGATCCTAAGATCTCAAAATCTGGTTGAAACCGGATTAGCATCAAGCACCAGTTGTTCTGTTTCGTGCTGACACCCCTCCACTGGCAAGCACTCTGTAAGATGCTGCCTTGCAGGGTTGGTAAACATGTATAGCCTGTTACTCAGAAGCACAACCCTGGCCTCTATGCGCTTGTCAGACTCCAATGAGGTCTTTCTGTTGCCCTCTCGAGTCTCTTGGTGGGACTATCGTGCTTTGGCCAAAATTTCAGTGCCTACTGCCTCAGTTTGATATACACTGAAGCTCTTTCATAAGAAGTTCACCTGAGGGAAATCTATGCTCTTCAGAGCCAAATATTTGCACACAAGCTCCTCCATACTCCGCAAGGCTTGTAACCCATGAAACAGGCCATCTTCTGTGATTCTGGTAAGCACAGATTTACGATGAGTTTGGCGGCTGCCTGAAAATGTGGATCCCAAGGTTTTTGTTTTCAAAATAAGAATCAAGTTCCTAGTCCTTGGCATTGCGGCACTGCATCTGGCACCATGAAGCCAGCAGCTGTAAACTGCTACTCAACCATCTAGGGGCGCAGGTGGCGCTGTGGTCTAAACCACTGAACCTCTTGGGTTTGCCTATCAGAAGGTTGGCAGTTCGACTCCACGTGACGGAGTGAGCTCCCGTTGCTCTGTCCCAGCTTCGGCCAACCTAGCAGTTCAAAAGCATGCCAGTGGAAGTAGATAAATAGGTACTGCTGTGGCAGGAAGGTACATGGCATTTCTTTGTGCACTGGCTTGCTTCATGGTGTCCCGTTGCACCAGAAGCGGTTTAGTCCTGCTGGCCACATGACCCGGAAAGCTGTCTGTGGACAAACGCCGGCTCCCCCGGCCTGAAAGCGAGATGAGCGCCGCAACCCCATAGTCACCTTTGACCGGATGTAACCATCCAGGGGTCCTTTACCTTTACTTGTACTCTACCACCACTTGAAATTCAAATGAGCAAAATATGGCCAGCTGTTGTACAAATACATTCATCCTTCCCATTTACATCTGGGGGTGCCCCCTGTCTGTCAGCTTCCTCCTCCTTGGAGTAGGGGTGTTGCCCCTTGTAAAACTCAGCAGGGAGGAGGACGAGAAGGGCAACGACACAAAACTAGGATTAGTTGGATATGTCTGTCACTTGCTCTGGCTCCACCTAGGGCTGGTCTCCCTGCCTCCTGGCTTACCAGTCCCCATGGGGACTAGCTACCGCTGTGTGAAAGAGAAAAAGTTATAGGCAGCTGCTGCAAACCCTCTTCATGCATCCCTCGTGTGTAAGGCATCTCTCTGTTGATGGTGGAGCAGTCACACGTTTTGCGCCTCCCCCTTCCTGCCAGCTGAGGCTAATGGGTGTCTCAAACATCTGGAGGGCACCAGGTTGGTGAAGGCTGCTTAAGGACATAGGACTTGCCTTCTGGATTAAGGACCAAAAGCTGCTTAGTCCCAACATGCTTTGCAAAAACCCCAGCAACCATTGGGGGTGAGGTGGTCAGCCAGGATTTGGCTAGTGGTTTACCACTAGATGAAAGCCTGATGAATGTCAATCTGGGTTCTTTGCAAGCTTTAACCCTCCCCCTACCCATATACCCCAGACATTACTGGTGCCATGATGAAGACATTTCTATTTGCAAATAAAATAATCTAGTGACCTAATTTCCTTCCTAAGGATCATGATATTTATGCACTATGACGTAAATCCCACCAGCACTAGAAAAGAAAAAAGGAACCTCGGGGGTCTGAATTGCTACTATTTTGAAAGATCCAGAGTTTCTTTTGAGGAGCTATTAATCATCTTGAATATGGTTTTAAAGCCACCCGTGTATTCAGATTCAAACATAAACAAACAGGTGGTTTCATGAACCAATTATATGAGGCCCAACTGAGTTGTCAGCAAGAAGGCCGATCCATCATGCTTGCCTTCATGAGGTCCACATGGCAAGAATTTAGACAATGACTTCAAGTTCCATGAATGTCAGAGCTTTTTCCTGGCACCCAATGAGCACAGCGTATAGCAAGGAAGGGGGACCCACGGACTTCCAGAGATTCTGTGGCACTCCAACTCCCATGGGTCCCAGCCAGCACAGCCTGCGGTCAGGGATGATGGGAGTTTTAGTCCGATTACATCTGGGGTGTCACAACTTCCCCATCCATGCTGTGGATGGCAGAGGACACAGATTCTTCCACCACTGCCAGCAGTTTCCAGAAGTAATATGTATGTTTATTAGAATGCTGTGCATGCCATTTTTTAATGAGATCTGTATTTTTTCAATTACATCAAAGCTTCTATTCCTAATGAGAACAAGAGGCAACATCTTCTTCTGGACAAATGAGGCACAGGGGGGCCAGGGGGATGCTTGATTTGCCACATGACATTCACTTGCAAGTGTGGCATGTGACAGCCATGTTCCTGGCCTCAGAGTCCAAAAATACACAGGGCTCAAATGGTGATTTTTCCCCCTATCCTCCTCACAGCCCATTCTTGCAGAAGGAGGCCAGACAAAACTGCCACCTGAGCCCTATGTACAGTGGTACCTCGGGTTAAGAACTTAATTCGTTCCAGAGGTCTGTTCTTAACCTGAAACTGTTCTTAACCTGAGGTACCACTTTAGCTAATGGGGCCTCCCACTGCTGCCGTGCCGCCTCATCCTGAGGTAAAGTTCTTAACCCGAGGTACTATTTCTGGGTTAGCGGAGTCTGTAACCTGAAGCGTCTGTAACCTGAGGTACCACTGTATATGGCAGACACTCCATAACTTGGGGGCCACCACAGAAAAGGCTATTTCTTTCATAGCCAGAAAGCAAATCATCTTTACAGGAAGGCCTACAAGGAAGACATCTGAAGAAGGTCTCAGAGCCTGGGCCTGTTCGTATGGATGTACACAGGGAAAGCTAGTCACTAGGAGAAGGTGCAACAGAGCTCTCCCTGTGATTATTCTTTCTGCACCCTAAACACCAAAGCTAGAGCACAGCAGTCATGCGCCCCATAGAATCGTACTCATAATTTTCCTATCGTTCAGAGACTTTTCTGTCCATTTCGTTCAGTAACAGCAGAACTGGATGCCAGAATTGTACACCAGACGTGCCTTATGTTCTGGACAGAGGACAGACACAAAGAGCTTTTATGTGAGTGTCACAATTGCTGATGTAGGTGCATTTCTTCCCATCAGTGAGGGGCACTGTGCGCTTCTCTCTCTCTTTTTTTCGCTATTTTTCAGACTTTGTACACATTTTATGTTATAAAGAGTGCACGCTTGTACTTAGGTGTATGGCTGACAGCTAAGAACATAAATATTTTTAAAGGTAATTATACAATTTCTTCGAGAGGAATAAAGAAAAATTTAGAGATTTGGATAAGGATGAAATTATCACTATGGGGAAGGATATCAGTAATAAAAATGAATTTTTTATTGATAAAAATTGCCAAGCATGTTATACCCATGATCAGCAGCACAGGACACTTCAAAGAATGGCAAAAAGTTATTTCAAGAGTTATCTGGCAGGGGGAGAAACCAAGAATAAAGTATAAATTAATAACAGATTCTCCTTGCCAGGCTTAAAATTATATTATGAGGTGTCCTGTCTCTGTTGGCTGCAGGAATAGGTAACATTGGAAAATTTAGATATTTTAGATTTGGAAGGGCATGATAATAGATTTGGTTGGCATGCATATTTATGGTATGAAAAAGCAAAAGTACATAAAGGTTTTCTGAACCATTTAGTAAGAAGATCGTTTTTTTTTATGTTGTGGGAGAAATATAATAAATAAAAATATAATAAATAGAACAGAAAACACCATGGTGGCTCTCTCCATTAGAAGCGATATCCTTGAAAAAATAAAATATTTAATATTTAAAAATTAAATATGAGAAGCAATTGGGTGACATATAGAGAACTGTTCTACTTCAGTTAAGTAGAACATCAGTTGAAATTGAAGGATTTTGAAGAAAGGATTTATTAACTGATTGGCTACAATTTCATCAATTAAACAATATTTTCAAGATAGACAAAAAGAGAGGTTTTAGTTATGAGACCTCAAGATTTGAAAAAGATTTGTTAGAAAATAATATAAAATTATTGTCGAAAATGTATAAATTGCTTTTGAAATGGCGTACAAAGGTTGAACAGGTTAAATCTGGGAGAGGGATTTGGGACACAATATCCAACTTTCAGATTGCAAAAGGTTATGGAAAACTGATTTGAAATTCTTGGCGTGTTGTATGCTGAATGAAAACAATATGAAAATGATGTACTGATGGTATTTGATTCCCAGTAAGTTAGCAAAAAATGTATAAGTCAGGTACAAATATCTGTTGGAAATGAAAAGAAAAAGAAGGCACCTTTTATCATATGTGGTGGTCTTGTAAGGTAATAAAAGCTTTCTGGGAGATAAAAAAATGAGATGAAAAAAATGTTCAAATTAACTTTTGTAAAAAAACACACCAGAGGCTTTTTTATTAGGAATTATAGGTGCTGATATTCCAAGGGAGTAGAAAAGACTTTTTATGTATGCGACGACAGTCGCACAGATGCTATTAGCCCAGCAAAACTGACCGGAAAGCTCAGGAACCAAGAAGACCAAAACTTTAACAAAGAATGGGAAAAAATTATAATTTATCTTGGAGACCACTGTAAGCAGATGAAAACGTTAGCAGGATTGCAATAACACTTGTAATGTAGCAAATACTATGGAGACAATAGAATAAAGTTATATAAAATATAGATTATTGGAAAAGATGCAGCAGAAAGGGTTTAATAATAGGACCCATGAGGAGAGGTGGGAAATCCAGAGATTCGGAGGAATCTGTAAATGTGTATGTGTATGGTTGTATTGTTAAAATTTTATGTTTGTAAAATCAAATAAAAATTATTTCAAAAAGAGAGAGAGTGCAAGCGAGAAGCACATGAGCTACTGATTCAATACTGCCATCTCCACATGGAAATAACCGTTTTTCCAGTGGAATTGTTTTGAAATTGACCCTCAAGTACAGCTGAAGGCAGTATATTTAATCTTGCGTACAGTAAGTGAAAGCAAGTCTGTATTTTGGAATTGTTAAATTTTGCAAATAGTGCGCCAAGGTCTCAAAATTACTAGGTGGGAAAAAAATTATACAATGGACAAAATTTCCTTTTCGTGGCCAAATTATTCTGTCGCTCAATATCGTATATGAGCTGTCTAATTAAATTATTTGCTTTACTGAAGTCCAGTGTTAATAACTGTTGTGATGATAAACCGAAAGTAAAGCTTTCGGTTGACAATTTTGGTCTAAGCGCTCTCATGACATTCTTGCGATACTAAGGGTAGTAGACCAGTGGGTTTTAAATTTAGCCGGAGCCAATAATTAAATGTCCTGCACCAAATCTGTAATTCAACAGTGGGGAGATTAGCCTTGCAAGCGCAATGAAGCATTTGGAACACAGGATGGAACAGGAAAAAATTGCCTTAGGAACTTAGATTGAACAGCTTCTGTAGATCCAAGGTGAGTGCCTGTCCAAGTCTGAGCCCTATATAATAACTGCTTCATCACTTGCATGTGGCCCCTGAAAGGTTGCTCACAAGAGAATATGGCCCTCAGGCTGAAAAATGTTCCCTACTCCAGCTTTGCTGCCATTGTGTCCCTCTAAGCAGTCGCCCTCCAACACCTGCTTTCTGTGCTGTCTTGGCAAAAGAGGCTCATGAGACTGTGTGTTTGCTGAGATAATGTCTACATTGGGCCAGAGTGCAGGGCTAGATGGACGCTTGGTCTGACTTAGCAAGTTCTTATTTTAGAAACCCAGCACAAGGGTGCCTCTCTTGAACCTCCCTCCAAGGTCAACAGTGCTTGTGAGCTGGCACTGATGAAGCACAATTTCTTCTGCCCAAGCAAACCTGAAATGTTGCTCGAAGCGGAGCAACCAGGTTAACCCAAGCGTGTTTCTTTATTTCCTATAAAGGAGTTTCACCATCCTTGTCCCAAACAATCACTTTGCTGTGTCTTTGCTTCTTGGGAGATAGATCACATTGTACTCTGGCCACTTGCTTGCAAAGGGTGTCCAGTGAGAAGTCATCAGCATGAAACAAACTGAACAGACAAAGGCAAAATGAGGGCGCGCTCCAGAGATATATCCTTGAAGAATCACAGAATCATAGAATGTAGAGTTACATTCCAACCCCCTCCAATCTCAACCAAAGCACCAAATGGCAGATAGCCATCCAACCTCTGCTTAGAAACCGACAAGGAAGCAGAGTCTACCACCTTCCAAGGGAGTCCATTCCACTGGCAACAGCTTTTACGGTAAGAAAGTTATTATCCCAGCGGGACTTGACATCTTTCCACAGGGCCTGCAATATAGAGCTGTTCCACCAGGCCTTTGGCCAGGGCACAGCCTGACCCCCTCCTTTGGCAATCCTCACAGAACTCTAGCCCAATGGTTGCCATTAATCTGATTTGAACAGATTTTATAATGAAATTATTTTAGAATGTTGTATCATTTTACTGTTGTTAGCCGCTCTGAGCCTGGTTTTGGCTGGGGAGGGCGGGATATAAATAAATTATTATTATTATTATTATTATTATTATTATTATTATTATTATTATTTCTGAAGTTTACCCGGAATCTCCTTTTGTAACTTGAATCCATGGGTTTGGGTCCTGCCTTCTGGAGCAGGAGAAATCAAGCTTGCTCCACCATCCATGTGACAGTCCTTTATTTGACTATTGCTATCCTATCTCTTCTCAGTCTCCTCTTTTCCACACTAAGCATACCCAGTTCCCTCAATTGTCTCTCATAAGGCTTAGCTTCCAGATCCTTGATTATCTTGGTTGCCTGTCTCTGCACGCTTTCTAGCTTGTCAATATCCTTCTTAAATTGTGGCACCCAGAACTGGACACAGTACAGTGGTACCTCTGGTTGCGAACGGGATCCGTTCCGGAGCCCCGTTTGCAACCGGAGCAGAACACAACCAGCATCTGCGCTTGCACGGGTCGCGTTTCGCAGCTTCTGCGCATGCGCGTGACGTCATTTTGAGCGTCTGCGCATGCGCGAGCGGCGAAACCTGGAAGTAACCCTTTCCAGTACTTTCGGGTCGTCACGGGACACAACCTGAAAACGCTCAACCTGAAGCAAATGCAACACGAGGTATGACTGTGTTCCAGATGTGGTCTGACCAAGGCAGAATAGAGTGGGACTATTACTTCCCTTGATCTGGACACTAGCCTTCTGTTGATGTAGCCTAGATTTGTGCCCATGAAAGTATTGGGGCAGTTAAATGAGATTCTGCTTTCACTGCTTTTTGAGCTTGTGTAAGTTTCAGGGCAGACATAGCAGCTTCATATCTAGTCAGTGCACATCCACAGCTTCCTGCTAAACTCTTGTAACTTTTTATACCACAAACAGCCTGGAACAGGCATATTTTTGTTCTACTTTAGTTGTGCTGCAGCGCAGGAGTGCTCTTCCAGGTGGCAATAATGCAGTGACACTGGGGAAGCAGAATTATGTGTGGGCTGCTCAGTACAACTCCACCAGTAATGCACTATTATGGCATGTTGCAGATTACACCTGCACAAAATCACCACCACCCATCTGGAGGGGCCTTTATTTTGCAGAGGGTAATGTGGGAAAAGCCACTATGAAGCAAACACTCTGTGTGTGTGGGTGGGTGTGTTTGTCAGTTATCGGGGGCCAATGGTGTGTTTTCTCTCCCCTTTGAACTTCCCAGGTTTAGAAATTAATTGTGAGCCTCCCAGGTCTCTCCAGCCCTTGAAACCCTCCCCAGGTCTTGCGCACACTCTTCAATAGTCCTGCTTTGCCCCATCCTCAAGGGCTTTTGCCTGGCTGGAATGTGTCCTTCAGCTCTGAAAACGCTTCTTGCTTGGCTCAATGGGCAACAGAGAGGGCTGCATGTGTATGGAAACCAGCCTGCTATATTACAATTTTCATTCACTGCTCCACCTACTTTTGCCTCTGACATTGCCCACCATTGGTATGTGGCCTCTGTAAGGTTGCTCCGAAGAGAATGTGGCCCTTGGACTGAGAAAGGTTCCCCACTCCCACTTACCTAGTGTGTGTATGGGGGAAGTACGACTCAAACATTGAAATATTGTGTGTGCGTGTCTGTGTCTCCCTGCCCCCCGCCCCAGTTGAGGCCCAGTTCTCAATAGATGCATATAAAAAGCCAGCTGTTTTTTTTGTGTGAGCACAAGTATGTGTAGGGTTGAGATAAGTCTTCCCCTTATCAACAATACTGTCCTGTTTCAGAGAGAGGAAAGTTTTCTGTATACACAAGTCAGGGATGTGAGTCAATCAAAACAACCAGGGTTGGAGGGCCCTGAAAGGGCATTTTTGTGTGGTGGGGAAAAAACCCAACCCATTTGGAGCACCGCCCTCTCCCCCTTCTGTTTTGGGTGTGAACATTTCAACCTAACCACCCACTGATGCTATGTGGCAGCAGGAATCAATCCTCCTTTGAGTGAAGCTTGTCCACAAAACATGGATGTAAGAGGCCTCACAGAATCACACCAGTCTGCTAGATCTCACGGGCAAATGGCACCAAGCTGCTGCCACCTCGTTTCCTCTGGGCCTCCTGAAAAGGCCACTCTGTTTGGGTGGCCAGGTGCCCTACTTCACAGAAGACAGCCCTCTACGTGAAGGGCTGTCAGACGACAGGGCTGCCCTGCCAACCTGATGTTCCGGCTGGAGCCAAACAGGAGTTGTGGTCTAAAGATGGGGGTTGGGGACTTTCGCAGCCCAAGCACTACATTCTCTTCTGTGCAGCCTTCTGGGGGCCACTCACTGGTGGGTGGAGTCAGAGGCTAAAGTAGGCAGAGCAATGCACATATATTTTTACCTGTGTACAGAGGGGTAGTTTCTACAAACACTTGGGTGCCCTGCTGTATCCTCCACCCAGCAAGTGGAAGGCACTGTCAGATCAAGGAACACATTCCAAAGCACAAAGCAGGTCTAGTGAGGGGCGTGGCCTGGGGACAGTTGGTGTGAGGGCCAGATAGGCCTGGAGGGCCACATTCAGCCACTAGGCCTGATGTTTGCCCCACACCCAGCACTCTGTTTACACATGGGAGAAGAATTTGGGCAAGCTGACCAACGGTTTCCAAACAGATGGCCTGTGATGGCCTGGGACTCGGGCTCGGACTCGGAACCAGAGGAGTCTCAGTCTGCACTGGATCCTTTGCCTCAGGCATCATCTGAACCCAGTCTGGGGCCTGGTCCTGAAGAGTCTGCACAGGTTCCCCTGCAATAAACACCAGCTGGGCCGAGTCAGGGGCCTGAGCCTGCCCTGGCTCCAGATGTGGGGATTACCTCGTTGCCTCCAGCTGGGCCATCACTTACAGCTGCTCCACTACCAGTTGGGTCAGGGGAGGCTGAGGAGGCCTCTGGGTCTAGTAACCCACCGACATCTCCCAAGCTGCGGAGATTAAGGTCTGAGAGAAGAAGAGACCTGAGTACTCGCAGGAGGAGTGCTCGCCTTCAGGCGAGACAGGGAGGTGAGTCACCGGGGGATCAGGACCGGCCGCTACCCCGACAAAGATAAAAGACCCCACCCCAGGTTGCGGGAGCAACATTGCTGTATGCTAGGTCCTGCCTGAGATCCTGTACCTGTCCTTGCCTGGTTTCCTGCCTCGTGTCCTGCCTCGTGTCCTGCCTTGGCCCTGTCAAACTGACTCCCAGTGGAACCTTCGGATTCTGAACCGGTCCTGGACTGCGTTTCACGGGTTACCCCCGGGCCCAGCACACAGACCCTCAGAAAATCACCCAGTGCTCCTCAGCACAGAAGCTGAACAATGGAGAACAAGCTAGGATGAGCTGGCAAAGAACCAGTGTGACATAGTGGGCAGAAGCGGGTCAGACTATGGCTAAAGGGAGGCCCAGGTGCAATTCCTCAGCAGCCACAGAACTTCTTGGGTGACCTTGGTCTTGCCACCACTTTCAGCCCAGCCCACCTCAAGCGGTTGTTGCTAGTGCAGCAACACATCCTACTTCACTGCCGGAGGCAAACTTCATTGTCTCTGCCAACAACAACAACAACATACGTCTTACTTCACAGAGGACAGTCCTCTATTTGAAGAACTGTTGTGTCCAAGTCCAGTTTAAAGATGACAAACCACAAAGTGGGGAGCAGGAGGAGAAGGTAACAGTAAAGGTAAGAGTTTTTAAGGAGCCCATTGCTAGCCAGAACCTGGATAGCAGATTAAGGACACCTAGTCGTGGGCTTTCCCACTGTGGAAAGTTGTATTGTCTTTCTATTTAAATTGCAGCAATCATTTCTACACACAAGTATCAGTATATGCAAAGTGGTGTCCTCTTGGGTGGGGAGGCAACACACAAACTGCTCCCCTAAATGAGAGCCACCTTTCAAGGTCACACACAGATTCTGTAGCAGGACCCCCCCCCCGGGGGGGGGGCAGGACTAGGTTCAATGAGTGGGAACTGCAGGGATTTCAATTAAATATTAGGAGGTGTATCATACCCTCAGGAGCCCAGTTACAGAAGATACAAGCCTCTCCCAAAGTACTCACCAATGAGGGCAAGAAAGCAGATGCAGCCTAGACAAGACAAACCGCAGTCAAGCACGAAGAGCCACTCCAGGTCCAAATGTGATCCAAGGACAAAGTCAGGCAACAAGGTCCATATGGCAGAGTGTTCAGACAAGGCACAATACCAGTTCCCAGGAAAACTAGGAACCAGAAACCTGTATTGTTCCCAGAAACTAGAAGGTCCAAGAGATAGGTTTGGGCCTTCTAAACTGCACACTAACCGCTGCTGCTAATAGTGAAGGAGTAGCAGGGATAGATTAATCTTACCCAGGATAAATCAGCACGGTATATCTTTGGTCCAGACCAGAATTATTATTGAGGAGTTGGGGAGCCACTCATCCTCAGGCCTGGATTTGGGGGAGTGGCGGCCGGGGGTGGGGGGAGCTGCCTGCCTGCTTCTGAAAGTCTTCAATCTCTGGGGAGTCTTCTCCTCTGAGGATACCACATCTGATATCAGGTCAGGAAATGTCCTAACAGCAATGGCTCTTTGCTCTCTTTCAGTGAAGGCATTTAAGCAGAGGCACAGACAGTTATAGTTGTGTCCTGCATTGCAGATCCTGCATTGAACACATGTATGTATATATGTGTGTATGTGTCCCTGTGTGTGTGTGTGTGTGTGTGTGTGTGTCTGTGTCCCAACTCTTTGATTCTGTAGTTCCCTGATACAATGCAATTTTAAAACAAAAACAAAAAGCCAAGCTTCAGATGGTTTGACCTTTCTGGATGAGGATCTGTTAGTCATGCATTCCATCTCCCTGTCTTCCTGCGTCCCTTTCCCTCATCCATGAATAGAGGACTTCATCTATCCAAAGGCAGAAAGACAACACCACCTCTCACATGCACCTTCACCAAAAGGCCCTCAGTAACATATTTTCCCCCTCCCTCCCTCTCTTTTTTTTGTCGTTGTTGCTGTTTTGGGTGGTGGTGGAGGGAGTAAACATATGAATTTTCAAACGT